CATCCTGGTGTATTCTGAGTGAACTGAAACTGAGAAGACATCTGAAAAGTTATCAGTTAATTCTGTGGTTAGGAAAGTGATCTGAATCAAAGAACCAGCAAGAGGCTGGGCTTAGGGCAACAGTGCTAAGAGTCTGCCCAGCTCTCTTGGAGAAAGGTTGCTCGGGATAGGAAGGCTTTGTGTTCTTTAAGCCAGGCTGATCATTTGAATTCATATCCATTGCTTTATTACGGTAAAAAATGCGCAACACTTTTTGGATCTTTGGTTCAATCCCCATCACTTTGATGTTTTATTTATTGATGCAAAAAAAAAAAAAAAAAAAAAGGACTTGCCTTTCAAGTTTGTTATCTCTCATGTCAATGGAATTTTTCAAAGTATTTAGCAAGCAGCTCCATAGTACTGTCTCTCTGTTTTAAGTTGGCAGGGGATTCTGAAGTGTTACTGGTGCCCCTGGGTGTTTCCTGCCATTTATTTTCAAGCTAATAAGGAAATACAGAGGTTGGCTAGAATTTGCTATGAACATAGCGGCATGCTGGAACAAAGGGGGCTCTTTAGAAGAATGTGTTTTATTGTCTCAGGGACTTTGTTTTCTAGGCCATGGAAATTATTTGTATTTGGAAATCAGAGCGATTTCTTGTCTTTGACCAAATCTTTCATGAAGTCTAAACTTCTACATTTATGAATTCACCTGTGACATCATTAAGTGGTTTCCTCAGTTGAAAAAAAAAAAAGAAATTGTCAAGAAGTGACAATAGATGTAAAGTATTAGGGAAGGGAAATGTGTATTGAAGTCCGTTGTTGATTTTTTAAAGCAGTTAGCTGGGTTTTTGCTACTAGGTTATAGGAATTGCTTATGTGGTTTGGATGTTAGCTCCTTATCAGATTTATGGTCTGCAGATCTTTTCTCCCAGTCCATGGTTCGCTTTTCATGCTGTTTCCTTTGCTGTGTGCAATTTTTAGTTCCATGTCATCCACTTATTTATTTTTGCTTTTGTTGCTTGAGCTTTTGGAGTCATTTCTATGAAATCAGTCCTAATACCAAGTTCACAAGGCTTTTCCCTGTGTTTTCTTCTATGAATTTTACTGGTTTAGACTGAAGTTAAGGCTTTAATACATTTTGAGTTCCTCTCAGTGTATGGTATAAGGGTCTCTTCTCATTCTTTTTTCATGTGGTTTTCCAGCTTCCCAAAACTATTTGTAGTTTAAATTGTTCTTCTCACATGTGTATTCTTGGCCAACTATTAGAAGATTTGTTGGCCAGGCATAGGTTTTTCTGCACTTTGTATTCGTTGGTCTATATGTCTATCTTTAGTCGCTATGACATTGTTTTGGCAACTGTGGCTTTTTAACGTATTTTGAAATCAAGAAGAGAGGGTTTTTTTTTTTCAAGATTGCTTTGCTGGTTGGGGTCCTTTGTGGTTCCATATTACTTCTGGGCTTGTACTTCCTATTTCTGTGAAGAACGCCATGAGGACTTTGATAGGGGTAGCATTGCCTGCCTATGTGGGTTCCTTTGGGTAGTATAAGACATTTTCATAACATTAAGGCTTTCTTTCCATGAACAACTGATGGCTTTCTATTTATCAGTGTCTTCTTCTTTTTTTGTTTGTACTGGGGATCGAATTCGGGTCCTTGCATTTGCCAGGCAGGCACCAGAACCACTGAGCTAAATCCCTGGCTATCAGTGTCTTCTTTAGTAATTTTCACTTATGTTTTGTTTTGTAGTTTTCAATGTACAAATCATTGATATCTTTGGTAAAGTTTATTTCTACAGTGAAAATGAACCTACATAAGGGGAGAAAATATTTCCAGATCACATGTCTGATAAGATTCATGTTTCCAACATATAAGGAACTCCAAGAGCTCAAAAGCAGGGGGAAAATCTAATTTAAAATTGGGTCAAGTGCTTTGAATAGACATTTGTCCAAAGAAGACAGGTAAAATGCCAACTGGAAAACAAAAAGAAGACCAACATCCCCAATAGCAGGGAACTGCAAATCAAAACATTAATGAGATTTTACCTCTTGTCCATTAGGATGGCCACCATCAGAAAATAAATGGATGTGGACACACTGGAACTCTTGCACACTGCTGGTGGAAGTGCAAAATGGTACAGTTGATATGGACAACTGCATGGCAGTCCCTCAAAAGAATGGAATCATCAATTCTTCCTAATACTGGGTATAGACCCAAAATTAACTGAAATCAGGATCCCAAAGAGGTATGTGCTCTCCTACATTCACTGTAGCATTATTTACAGCAACCAAGACACGGACACAACCTCAGTGTCCACCACTGCATGTCTGGGTGCAGGACATGTGATACGCACACTCGATGGAATATTACCCAGCCTTAAAACAGAAGGCAATCCGGGAGTATGTTGGCAATGTGGGTGGGTCCAGAGGACGCTATGTTAAATGAAGTGAGCCAGACCTAGGAGGCAGACACTGGGCTATTCCGGTTACATGTGGCCTCTGGAGGAGCTGAACTCACAGAAACAGGAGAATGTTAGTTGCTGGGGCACAGGGAGAGGGACAGGTGAAGCTGCTCGTCAATGGGTATAAAGTTTCGGTTGTGCCAGGTAGGTAAGCTCTGGAGTCACTCCGTACAACATCCTGCCCACGGTAGACAACAGTTTCCTGCAATTCAAAAGTGACTCAAAGGGTAGCTCTCACACTCAACAAAAAGTCATAGTCCTTATTTTTTAATACAAGGGGTGTCTTGGAGGTGGAGAGCCTTCATATTGAAAATAAGCATATCTGTTCTATAAGAAGGCATCTGTGAGAAGACAGAAAATGGAACATAGAAAATAGCCTGGGGTAAAATACGCAATCCAGTTTGGATGAAATGATCAGTTGCCAGCCTCTCCCACATGGAAAGTGATGCTTATGAAGATGGAAAGTGCTTCTGTGTCCCGGCCATTTGGATCTGAGCAGTCTGCCTGTGTTCAGTCCTCTCTTCCACCAGTCACACCGGCCAGGAGTGGCCGGCTGTGTGTCCCCGCCGCCTGTGGGTGCGTGACAGGCCATGTTAGGGGACGTGCACTGAAGACTGTGCCTGCCTAAGAGCTGCCTCCCAGACGGGCTGGTGCCAGGCACGACCCTGGCATGTGCTGGAAATGTGAAGGCTTCATCTGAAATGATGATTCTAGCTCATGTTCACTTGGTCCCTCTAAAAAAATCAGCTATCACGGAAAATAACTCAAAAGGCTAATCTAAAAGGGGATTATACGAAGAGCACCTCAAAAGTAGGCACCACCAAAGTGCAGGGAAACTGCCCGGGGCTGGTGCAGGGCTCTAGGGCTGGTGGCAGAAGCCTCTGTACCTTCGCCTGAGGGTCAGGAGGAAGTGGTTCCTGTGACCCAGAGGGCGGCTGTAGGGAAGGCGTGTCTGAGTGGAGTTGTGACTCTGACCGCCACCTGCTCCTCCTGCTTGGGGTCACCTGCTGTACCCCTTATAGTGGGCAAGGCTGCCGTCCTGGGGACAGTGGGTCTGGATGAGGCGGAGGAAGACAAGCCCCGCATTGCTAGCTGTTCTGTGGAGCACGGCCCTACCAGACAGCACCGCACCCTCACACTGCAGACAAACCCGCATATCTGAGCAGGCTGGCCCGGTTCGTACTGGCTGGAGACAGAAGGAATGGCTGGATGTGCGACTCAGTGCAAACACCGGGAAAGGTAATGCGGAGGCCGGTGAGTGCGTGTGGATGCATCCGGAGGAAGCTGTGCCTGGGCGTGATGAGCCAGGCCTGGACAGAAGTAGGGTGCTAGCGTGCAGCAGTGGTCTAAGAGAAGGGGGCGTCAGGGCACACACATTTCCACCTGAAGGCTCCTGTCCCGAGTGTCCTGTGGTCCACTTTGTCTAAAGGCCACCGTGGAGTGCACCGAAGATCTGCAGTCTGACCTCAGGTGTTCAAATATTTGTCAGTTGAAACCGCAGTGTCACGTGTTTGCTTGTGAGGAGCCCATCCAAAGGCGCCTCAGGCCAGGAATTCCCTTTTTGAGCCCAGGGTCAGCCTGAATGTTAGCCTAAAAGTCTTGATTACATCCACATTTTACTGTCATAAAGAGCAGCTTTCTGACCCAGGCCCTGGCCAGCCCACTGACCCTGAAGGAAGCCTGGTGCTGTGGCCACCACGTCTCCAGAAGTTCACCTGTTGGACGCTGACTCCTCAGTGTGGCAGGGACAGAAGGTGGAGCCTGGCTTGGAGCCCTGGTGGATGGATCAACAGCTTTCTCGTTGGAGTGAGTGCCGACCCTCATGGGGCAGGACCAGTCATCACGAGGACGTTACAGAGCACGTCAGCCCGTCCTCCTCCTTTCTGCCACAGCTGGAAGCAGCACTGGGCTCTGTCCAGTTACAGGGCCCTGACCTTGGATTTCCCTATCTCCAGAACTGTGAGCCAGATAAACCGCTCTTTGTACATCTCTGAATATCAACGTTGTTACAGCGATGGACTCAGACACACAGCTGCAGCAGGCCAGAGAAGTCTGCAAGAGCACCCTGCACTTCATGACTCTTCTGGTCCTGGCATCCACAAGCAGCACCACCTGCCTCTGACCCAGGGGAGGCCTCCACTCTTGCAGCCTGTGGTGTCACAGCATGAGCAGGCTCATTCTAGAACATTCCAGAACCAGCCCTACCTCCGACTCTCAAGCCTGCATGAGCAGAGAGGGATGGCTGTTTCCCCAAGGTGGTGGGAAGTCACTGTGACCACTGCTGTGGATGCCTGGGGACCTAATTTTAGAGACCTTGGCCAGTGCTAACACTACATAACTGAGCGCAGAAGAGCACAGCTGGGCGTCTCAGCGCCAAGTACAAGCCCGTGTCAGTGATTGGTGAACAGACTGTGCCGGCCCTGGGCTGCAATGATCTGTGTCAGAGGAGGTGGCGTGATGTCTGCGGTCATCCCCGAGACACAAATAGACACACACACTCTGTGTACGGTTCCTATGTATTCGACATATGTGTGTAGCATACTAGAAAAAAGTAAGATGGTTAAGTCTAGGTGGGTGTCAGTAAGCTTTACAAATCTATTACTCTTAGGATGAATCACTGAGGAATTCTTTCACAATGAATTCAGTTTTTCATGTGATTTTATTACTTCCCTTAAAGCAAGTATCAGTATTAAATAGATTCACATATAAAATGTAGTTTTTGAAATTATTTTTGACCTCTGTTTATTAAACCTGGCAGAAATTAAGTTAGCATCTCATTTGGTATAGACGCCTCAGGTATGCACACTGAGGCAGAACAGACCCTGAACAGAAGCACTTCATTCTCAGCGCCACAGTTATATCAGAGCCCGGCCCATGGCTCTGCCCGGCCCACATCTACTCTGGCGACAGGCTCTTGGCCACCCCCGCTTCCCCCTCCTGGTCTCTACCAGCAATGGCAGCACCGAACAGTGGCCCTGAGGCTCAAGGTCAGGACACGGCCAGGTTGAAGGCAGGAAGGAAACTGATTCAAGCTGCACACCCAGGTGTGAAGACTTAATGAAACCTTACCACACCTCAGGGCGGGAGCTGGGGTCGCTCTGCCCCCACCCTGACAGTCGGAGGGAGCCTGACGGGCCCCACAGAGGAGACCCTGCCATGAGTGGGGCCTCCTGAACGTGGCTGCCGCTCCCCACCCAGCCACTGGACGCTTTTGCTATTTCCCCACTCACCTGGTCCCCCAGAGGGTACATGAAGCTGCCTGCTTGCATCCCATCCTCACTCAAACCAACAAATAGCAAACACCTCATCTCAACACTGCAAACCAGTGATGTAAAAATAGTTTAAATTACTTTGGAACTTTAATTACAGAAACTTTTCCACACAACACTCCTGAAAGTTGTGATTCTCTCCCGTTTCTCTGAAGAGGCCCCGGATGCACCCTGCACCCCTCCTATGTACATGTCTACACCCACATCACCACTTTAGCAGTGCAGGCACCTTGACGGCAGCCCCAAACCAACTGTGCACCAGGTTCCAGGCTGTGACCCCTGGAGACTAAGACCCCAAGGAGCACGGAGGCAGCTACAGTCAGAAAGCAGGAAAGGTCGAGCTTTGCACAGGCTCTTCTAAGCTCAACTCTCAGAAATCTAATCATTAAGAGGACCCAGGGCTCACCCCAAGGCCTCCACCAGACGCACCAGCCGAAACTCTGAGGACTTAAAGTGCAATTACTGCTGCGAACTCACTGGGGCCAGAGATCGGGCTGGACAGAGTTCAAAGCAGAAACTTCAAACGGGGCTGCTCATGACTCAGGGCGGGAAGGGAGGGAGGGGAAAAGGACTGACAGCTCTCAGGCATTCAAGTGCATCAAAGAATCAGTGTCTCTTCTTTCCATAAAGAAAATCTGTACATGGTAGGAATCTTGGTTCAGAAAAATAGAACTTCCTAAGAACTAGCTGGGCCCTCCCCAGTACGGCAGAGTCAGGAGACTGGCGAGGGCGGCCAGCAGCACGGGCTGCGCTCTGCTTCCTGGTGCCTGGCTGTGCTGTTCGCCCCCACCATCCGCAGAGAGGTCCTCGGCTCTGGGAGAGGAGGAGGCGCACTGGACGAGCGGCATCTGGTAGGACGTGGCCCTCTTCTCTGGCCGGTCCGGGCTGGACCCATCGCTGGGCCGCTGGCCATTGAAGAGCAGGTAGCGCCCCCGGGCGTCCTGCTCCATCTTGAAGATCTCATACTCTGTGTGGGGCAGCTTGATGCCCAGTGCCATGCAGCCGTTGGTGTGTGTGACGTCCTGCTGCACGCCCACCTGCCAGGAGCCCTCGGCCCCACACTCGTTACCATTGAAGACGTTGAGCAGAGAGGCTGTGGCCGTGTCCATGGGGGTCACCTTCATGTGATTCACTGCAGAGGGGAGAGGAGTCTGTGATGCCGGAGAGAAGGCGGACACACCCGCTGGGGGTTCTCACCTCGCCGGCCACATGGGCTTCAGGTGCGGGCCGGCAGCTTCGCATCTGCACCCGCCACCCACAGATCAGTAAGGCTGGAAAGCAAACTGCTCTGCTCCAGACCTGTGCACACTGCGGGTGTCTACCCAAGGGACAGTGCACCGGTCTACACGGCTGACACTGCACGGGCAGGTACGGTCACCTAGAGAAGACTCACAGTGCACCGTACACACAGGGCTGTGCGAGGGCAGACAAACGCTGCGCCCCTCGGCCACCTCCCTGGGAAGGGAGCTCACTCCTGCAGGTATGAAGGGCACTGTGCTGTGAGTGTGGCCAGAAAACAGGCTGCGGGCGGGGCCACCCTGCGGGGCATTAAACATCAGCGCAGTGCTCCCTGCCAGTGCATCTGATGACAACGACGACGGCTCTTTAGGATGCAAAACTGTGCAACAGAAACTGGAATTCTATTTTGTGAAAAGGTTTGCGGCATCTAAGTTTTGCTGCCCAAAATCTCGGTTAGTCAGCATTCTCACAAATCAATACTGACACATAACTCAGGCATCTACAATGTGCCCCAAGCAAAAAAGTACGAGTGAGCAGACTGGATGGAAATCCGAGCCAGTGCAGAGGTGGCTTATTACCATATCCTATCCCTTCATCCACACTGTTCACACTCAGCAAGATGCCAGCAGCTCAGCACTGTGTCCAGGACCCCTGTAGGTCCCTGGGGGCCACACTGTGAGCCTCTCAGCCTGGGCCTGGTGAACGCTCCAGAGATGCCCTCTGTTGGGCACGGTCCTCCCACTGCCCCAGCAGGAGGGTGTGCAGCCCTTGGGTTTGTCTGCACTGACCCAGATGTCCTACCGATGGACTGCAGTGTCACCTGGGGCACCACTCCCAGGGCCTTGGCTGTCCTCTGCTTGGTGTGACCAGGCTGACACTAGTTCACAAAGATGCTCAAGCTTAAAAGCAAAACAATCCCAGCAACCACCGCCCTCCTGAGAAAAGGACACAGCTAACCTCCCGCTACTGCTTCCCTCACCACTGCCTGTGACAACTGCTCAAGGGCAGGGCGAGCTCTGGATGAAATGGACGCTAACACCCACTCTTTCTCCCCACTAGAAAGCACCCAGATGTGAGCTGCTGCAGCTGCCAGAGGCACTTGGGACACCACAGGCTGAGTGTCCGGCTGCCTGTGTGGCAGGGCCCCATGGTCCTGAGGCTGCAGGTGGAGATCCCAGGTCCCACTGAGGTAGGGGCTCCTGGGGTTTCAGAGGAGCAGAGCAGCTACACTCACTACTGCTTTCTCGTCCCAGCATCTAGGCAGAACAGAAGGTCTTTCCCTTGGCCCTGCCCTGCAATCTGCTCCCAAACTGTGTCTTGTGCTCCCTGGAGCCGTGGCCTACCTTTGAACACGAACTCTGTGCCGCCCACGACCCTGGAGGACAGCACCCCACGGCTGTAGCGGCCCCGGGCATAGATGATGAAGGTGGGGTGCTTGCACACAGGGTCCGAGTAGTGGTAGTAGTGGCCCTCCCAGGTGTTGTTATTGTCGTGGAAGATGAAGTGGCGCGTGAGGAAGAGGACTTCGGGGCGCACCTCGCAGCGCTGGCTCACCCACTCGCCGTGCAGGCCCACGGTCAGGTCTGCCTTTGGGGGCAGCAGCGGGGGGTGGTGCTCGTCCGAGCGGTGGATGATGCGACAAGCGATGCAGGTGTGGTCGTGGTTCTGCAGCAGGAAGAGACAGCCCCTGGGACCCTGGTCTTTACAAGAGACAGTGCACAGGGCTCCCCCACCCACCCCCAAGGGGCTCACGAGGGTCAGGGAGCAGCACACAGATCGCCAGCACTTGGGACTCCCAAGGCACATCTGGAGCCAGTTCGCTCTGTAGTGTGCGGTATGTGTGCGTGACACACACACACACACACACACACACACACACACACACACACAGCATACACAGGTGCTTGAGCGACAGCAGGGCTGGCAGGCACATCTCCTGGGCTGCACACTAGAATCCTATTGGGTTTCAGAACACCTGCTGGATGTTTGATTTTAGAAAGAAAGGGTGGCAACTCTGCACCCACAGGACAGCGACTGTTGGGAATCCTGTGGGTAGGCACTGGAGACGCTGTGGAGAAACTGGAACCCTTGTGTCCCCTGTGGGAAAGAACGGCACAGTCACTAAACGATACAGCTTGCTGGCCCCTCAAAGTGTAAGCGCAGAACTGCCATGTGGTCCAGGTAAAGCAGGCAGCAGGGACCCAGATGGGCACATGAGCACAGTGGCCCTGGCAGCAGGGAAGAGGAAGCATCCCGAGTCCTGTCCACAAGCAAAGGAGGAAGCACCTGCAGTGTGGCCTGAGGGGACAGACGCCCGGCACAGGCTTGGGTGGATGCACCCTGGGGACCGAGTACTGGGTGAAGAAACCATTACAGAATGATGTGCACCATCTGACCTCACCTACAGGCAGTGGAACTCACACAGGAAGTAGCCCAGTGGCCACCAGGGGCTGGGGGTGGGCGGTGGAGGAGCTGGTGCTCTCGGGGCAGAGCTTCACTCTTGCAAGATGGTGGGTTCTGGGGGTGGACAGTGGCGGTGCTGGCACAATGAGAATGTAACTGATGGCAATGAACCGACCCCGAAACATGGGCAGGATTTTCCTGCAATTGTATTTTTGAATTAAAAAATTATGAGGCACATTAAAGAAAAAAAGAAAGGGCAGCCTCCTACAGCTATGGGTGAAGTCTGCAGCAATGGCAGGGACCGGGCAAGGAGGGCTGGAGAGGTAGGGTGGAGACTCTGGGGAGGTGCAGGGTGCAGAGGCACAGGCCAGCCTCAGGGCTCCCCCCAGACCCCTGCTTCCCCACATTGCAGAAAGCCCAAGTGTGGACATCGGGAGAGCCAGGTCTGAACATGGGGCCAACCCTGCACTGCTTGTTTCGCCCGGAGCAGGGAGTGTCCCACGGCTGGTGCCAGCCCAAGGGGCTCACGGCTGCTGCCCACCAGAACCACACGGCCACACCAACTTGCATGCCCAGCCCAGTGTGGCCTCAGCCCTGGACACAGGCTGGCGGCTGTCACCCTGGGTGGGCACACGCTTGATCTCCAGCGTGTTCCTGGAGCCAGAAGTCCCCGTCACCAGGGTGTGGGCTCAGCACGAGGTGAGAAGCTTGGAGCTGCGATTTCTGAGAAGGAAAGGTTCCTTCACCGTGGAGCTCATGGCTTGCAGGGGGTAATCTCAGATGGATGCTGTGGGCAGCAGAGGCCACATCCATGTGGGTCTGAGGCTTCCAATGAGGCCTGAGCCTGCAGTCAGCAGGGAGTGAGGGCCGGGGAGGCAGACCATGGGTCATAGGCCCAGCAGGTCCTGAGGGCCACGGCTCGGCTCCCAGACTCACAGCCGCCAGCCCAGAGGAAGCTGCCCTCTTCTCTCCTTTCCTTTCACACGGCCTCCGTCATCAGAGACTGTGAGACAGCCAGCAGACAGGAACCGGCAGGTGGCTCCCACATCGGCGCCCATCAGGTCTGCAGGCCCCAGGAAGGACCCCTGTGTGTGCCCCGCCCAAGAGACACACATCCAGCCACCAAGTCACGAGCAGAACAGAGTGAGGAGCCTGGACCCAGCCACTGTGTGGCGGAGGCCCCAGACTCCTGCAGCTGTATGGTCCAGGACGGCTAGGTAATGTGATGCCTGTGCCAGGCCCAGCAAGGACCCACCATCTGCACCAAAGCTCTCTGCCACCCTGGCTGCCAGCCCCGTACAGTCTGAGGGACCCAGACCAGACAAGGACACACATCGCCAGGGGTTCTTGTACTGGCACCAAGGCTGGGCAGCAACCGATTCCTGGCTAAGTGCCATGGCCAGCATGGCCAGCAAGGGCAGAGCAGCACCAAGAGCCTGTGCTCTGGTAGGCGGCAGGGGTGGAGCCGCAGGACCCAAGTGGCCCACAGGAACTGATCGCCGGCCTTGTGTGGGTCCTGCTCACAGCCTCCCTACCTCTCCCTGCCCTGCCCCTGCCTGGGCCTGAGATCCCAAATTGGGGAGCTCCAAAGCATTAGCTGTCAGTTCCCAGGTGAGCACCTCGATCCCAGAAGAGGGGTGGTTTCCCTCAGATAACAGCATCTGCTCAGGAAAAGCTCAGAGAGCTGCTTGGATGGGAAACAAGCAACCTCAGCTCCTAGCGCCAATGCCTTGGACAATGCTGCAGATCAAGTGCGCCCCTGAGGAATTGCCCCCCCGGACCAGCTTAAGTGTACAGCTCTGTGGCATCAGAACACACAGCACTGTGCAGTCACGCTGCTGTCTCCAGAGCCTTCTCCTCCCCTACTGACTTCGGCACCGGGAGCACCACCCGCCGCCTGCTGTCTCCCCAAATCTGACCATGCTAAGCACCTCACAGGGTGGGTCTACAGAGACAGTGTATCTCATCAGCAGTCTTTGGGGTCCACATCCACAGCAGATGCCAGGGCTTCCCTTAAGCTGAATCATACTCTGCTGCGCGTACACACAGCTCCTCCTGTTTATCCCACTGTCCATAGAGAGGCTCTTCAAGTGCTTCTGCCGTGACCATGGCATATGAGTATTAATATTTGAGTGTCTGCTTTGGTCTTGTGGGGTATAATCCCAGAAGCAGAAAGCTGGATCGTATGGCCCATCTACAATAAATGCCTTGAGGAACAGCACGCTGTTTGCTGTCGTGGATGCCCCACTTCTACCAACAAAGCATGGGGTCCCAGCTCCCCCATGTCCTCACCAACACTTGTTATTTTCGTCTTTTCTTCTAAGCATCCTGATGGGGGACCTGGCATCCCATGGTGGTTAGTTTGCATTTTCCTCAGGATCTGTGACATGGAGCGCCTTTCTGTGTGCTTACTGACCATCCGTGTATCCTTTTGCATTTTTCAATTTTGTCGTCATTGTTGACTAAGTTACTTTCTGAGACAACTCTTTACCACCAAGAAACCAAAGGGAAAATAAACAAGGGAGGTCCTTTTGGCTTGTTTGTGGATACCGTCAGCAAGGAGGAGGTTTTAGACAGTTTGTAAGAAGATATTCACGGTTTTGTAAACGTGAAGTTTAACAATTTTCCTTAAATTCTTACAATCTTTGGCTTGGATAGAAATTTTAAGAGACCTACAGGAACAACTCCAGGGAAGCAGAGTAAAGCTTATGCACTGTGCCGTATCGACTCTAAAGCTTCTCTTCTCTCGTGTGCTTTTCTTACAGCCGTTCAAGAGTGATAAACGGGAAGAGAAGTACACGTGATGTTCTTACACGTGCAAAGTGATTTGCAATAGGAAATATCATGTTCTTTACGAAATTATTTTTTATTCTTTGGGCCCAGGTTTGGGCACCTGATTCTCATCTCATCCGGTCTTTCCCAGGCTCACGGCTTTGGCTTCCACACCAGTCCACTTCCTGATCGCAGAAAGGACTTTCTGTGCATGGACCTGAAGGTTAAGGGCAGAGGGACGAGAATGTGCTTCCTCTTTGCTACACGGAGAAGCGTTAGCTCAGGGGTCAGAAATCATAGCTCAGTGATGGAGGCAGAGCCCTTGCCGGCCTTGTGAGCGGCCCCAGTTTCGCTCACCAGCATCACACACACACACCCTGCAACTTGGAGAGGAGAAAAAAGATCCCTAGTCACCTCCAAAAAGAAAACCAAATCTTACACTTCTGAAGTGAGCAGCACTGCTGGCAAGGAGTGGGGTTTGCCTCTTCTGCTCCCCAGTTCCTCAGGGCTCCCTGGCACCCAGTTCAACACAGCAGCTCGTGCATCAGAACACCGCTGCTGAGGGCCCACAACCCCCACCTGGGCTGCCCAACCTCTGGAGAGCTGGGGTCCCTTGTCTAGTGAAGACCAACAAAGTGCAGACAGAGGAACCTGGCTCATGACCTCGAGCCACAGCAGACCGAGGACCATACTTGGGGCCCAGGAATTGCCTAGGGCACCCCTGACCCTGAGGCTCAGGCCAAGGTCCTGTGAGAACCATCCCCCAATGGGCCCCAGCCTGGGAGGTCGTCTTCTGGGCCTATGACTGACAGGGATTCTCCAGCTCTCTCCTTTTCCTGCCAGTATTTATTTCTGGAGGGCTGGTGTGTCAACAACATCTGCTGATCGCGTCCACTTGTTTCTGTCCTCTTCCCAGAATGGAAGGAATGGCCACGAGGCTGGCCGCACACAGAGGGGCCTCAGAGGCAGGCCGGGGATCGCACACCCCCACAGGGCAGCTTCCTAGAAGAAAAGTTTTGTTTGGGAAGAAAACAGAACAGAGAATGGGAACTTCCTTTCCGAGGTTTTGCCCCAGGGGATCAAGATCAAGGTCAGAAAGAGCCTGTGAGGGCAGGCAGCTGGGTCTGAGCCTCGTTTGCATCTGCAGGACAGGGCTCCTCCTGCTGCTGCATGTCCTCCCATGCACCCTTCTGGGGTCCTCTTGGTGCCTTCCCCGCTCAGAGGCCAGGACTCACTGGACAGTCCCCGCTCACCACTCAGGCCTCCAGGCAGAGCACTGCGACCTCAGCCGCCATGAGGCTCCTGAGGGGGACAGCTGCCGGGATGAGGGTGTGGAGGGCGTTTCCAGGGTGTGTGTGGGGGAGGTGGCTTCTATCCACCCATGGGTGACCTCCTGTGGGATCTGGGACTCTGGAGTCTGTTATCCTGGGCTCATTCTGATCACCTAACGGGGTCAGGAAGACTCTACTGTCCTGGGATGTGGGGTGACC